GCTTGAAGCACCTCCACCATAGACTTTGTATGTAAACCTGCTGCTCCTGACGCTGAAATCGCGTTTGGTGTGAACGCACCGTTAGACTGCTGGAGCACAAACTGAGCACATTTCTTCACTCTGCTGTTGTCTTTAGTCTCTCTTCCCTGCATGTTTATTGTAATTATTTCTATCAATAACGTTTTTTTCTTTGTATCTTCCAGAAGAAGATGCACCTGGACCAGTCCTGGATCAGTTCTACTGTGTTTGTCTGTGTCTCTTTCCTGTCCTCCAACCAGCCGGTCGAGGCAGATGGTCTCCTGTCCTGAGCCTGGTTCTGCTGGAGGTTTCTTCCTGATTAGCAGGGAGTTTTTCCTCTCCACCGTTTGCTCAGGATGGGAGACTGTGATGAAGTGATTCWACGCAGCCTGCTGGTTTCTTCTTTAGATTGTTCTTTTTATGTACAGTGCCCTGAGGAGCGTTTGTTGTGACTTGGCGCTATATAAACTGAATTGAAATGAATTCAGTTTTTAATAAACCAAAATACAGTTTCAAAGCAAATTAATTCAAAACATTAAATTCAGTTTCAATTTCATACATGTCAACCTCTTCGGATGTTTAACTGTATAAAAAAACTCAAAAATCTGTAAATTTTGCAAAAATTCTGTACAACTCGCACCCGCGAGTGGGGGGGTTGGAGGTGGGGGTCTGTCGGCTGTGGAGATGACAGCGCCTGCTGCGAAGCAGGAGGAAAGGAGTGCGTAAAAAATTCAAAACTTATTTCTAGCGGCAGAAAAGGTTGGTAGATGGCTATTTGATGTCATTTATTGTTTTTTTTAAATCATCCTATAGGCTCTGACATGTTAGATAAATTTGAAATTAAGTTTTGAAAAAATCCGTAAGACTTGACAAAAATCCATGAGACTGCCCTATACGTACGTATACCTGCAAAATGACGTAAAATCCTTATAACTTACGGACAATCCATACAAGTTGAGATGTATGCAATTTAGTAAAATTTATTTTCAAACTAATGCATTCAATTTCAAATTATGCACATTCAGATTCAATCTGAGCAATTCAAATTCAGTTCCTGCTGGCACAAGATTGATCCCGTAGACCTGGGCCTGAAGGCAACCTATTGTAAATGTTTTTAGGGGTGGGGGAAACTGGAGTACCCGGAGAAAACCCACACAAGCACAAGCAGAACATGCAAACTCTGCACAGAAAGACCCCAGGTGCGAACTGGGGATTGAACCCAGAACCTTCTTGGTGTGAGGCGGCAGTGCTAACCACTGAGCCATCACGCTGCCAAACGAAGTGACTTCTTTCTCTCGTCGTGGTCTACATTTAAGACAATAACACAATACCCTTCATGGTTTTTACTCCCGTTGTCCTTCCTTCAGTCTGACACACCCACTCGTCCCCGTGTCC